CACACACACACACACACACACACACACACACACACACACACACACACTCTATCCTCCCTCTCTTTCCTCTCTATTGGGGTATCACAGAGAGGTTCTCAATGTGAGGCTTTTTCTTCCACCGGGCGGACAAAGCGCTCCCTGTTCGCAGCCTCTTAGCAGCCACTTCACACGCAGCACAAGGTGGAAGCCCCGCAGGCTACGCTACTTTCCCATCAGCCCTTTCTGCCTCAATGCTGCGGAGAGAGACCCCGGCTTGTGGATGACGGCAGGGGAGTTGACACGCAAACAAATACCTGTCAACACACACACACACACACACACACATTTGTGCGTCTGTCACTGCTCACACAGACGTTTGGCTATGAAGTGATACTGCAGCCCGACGTCCACTGAATATCAATAAGCAGCATACTTAATAAACACCATGCGCAGATTCAAACGCATTATAATTCCAGCACATAAGTTTCTACCGTCCTCTTGATTAGTGTTTCAACGATTACTCGACTATTTCTTCTACATGTTTCTGTCTTTAAAGTCGATTCATCATTCAAACTGCACTGGTTCCAACTTCTAAAATGGGAAGATCATTCTGCTAGTTTTCTCTTCTCTACATGATTGTAATTTGAATATTTTTGGGACCCGTTTGTTTTGTCTAAATGAGTAATTGAGTCCCAGTGGGCTCTGGGAAAACATTTCTGTGGATCCAAAAAGTATTCATGGAGGAATTGGTTGCAGCCTTACAGTTGTTTGAATATTAACTAAAATATTGCAGCAGCTGAAGTTATTAAATTGGACCCAATTGTACATCTTAATTGTTCCTTTTCACCCCCTTAAAAATAGATACCTTTTGTACCTCCCAGCACATGCAGAACTACTTGTATTGCACTGTACTGTACTGTAATACAGTGCAGTAGAGTACAACACACTTGGCATCCAGCTCAGAGCGACGCCACCACTAAGCAGACACACCCTGACCAGAGTGAACCTATTGAAACGGACCAAACTGAGCCAGGCAGCGTCTCACCACACCGGCTGACACGTTAACGTAAGAGAGACTCGTCCTCAGGAAGGACTAACAGGACAGACTGTGGAGAGAAGGAGAAAAGGCTGGTATGATTATGAAGAGCCTAGTAAATTCTGCAGCGTGGTTATTATCGGTGTCTCGAGGATAAAAAGGAGTCACGCTCGTGTTTCACTGGTTATTCACCTGAGAAGACTTCCTTTCCACTGTTAAAAAAAACATACTATATATATATATATATTTCAAGCAGCAGGCTCCATTACACATTCACCAGAATGCAACACTAAGGGCGACTTGATAATGATCCACCTCTGAACCGGACAGAGGAGGGCAATAAAACACACCCACGTCCTGCAGAGCTCACAGCTCTGCTTCTTTATTACTAAAACACGTTAGGAACTCTCCTCTTGCTGTTTAAACCAGAAAGAAAACAGCTAGACGGAGAAGAAGACGGACATTAGGCAGTCAGCGTTTGCTAGCTTATTAAGGCAAAGCTGCTAAATCATTCAAGTTATGCAAATTAGAGAAAGATGGGAATGTTTGAAGGAGAAGAAAATTTGCCCGTAGATTAACTTCACTTTTTTGCATTTTTTTTTTAGACAAAAAAAGAAAGAAGAAAACATTTCTTTGCTGACCATCAGCATGTCTAGTTCATATTAATCATGGCTGCACACAAAGTACACAAACTGGGACTTAAATATAGCAGAGGAAGGATGGAATTTCCCATACAGAAGACAAGAGACTGTGATGAGGACGTGTGATGCAGACAGAAGTCAAACAATGTGAGCCGTTATAAAAATGAATGATCTAATCTAAAGCACCATGTCCTCCTCCCTCTCAGACGCTTCTCAGACGTGGCCCTGAGACAGAGACAGAGAGGGACCTTGGTGACTGTCGGCTCAATGCTACAGTCAGGATATTGACTCAAAACCTGAAGGCGCAATAAGACGCCTTTCTTCTCTGTGTCTCTCTCTCCCCCTCTCTCTCTGAAGCCCCCTCTCTCCGCCCTCAAGTCTCACAAGTCCTCTTTCCTTCCATTAGACTGAGAATCTGACCTTCACTGTGTCCAGAAGGAATTTCTGTGTCTCTCAGTGAAGCACCGTCGGAGGACAAACGCAGATAGCGAACATAGGAAATACAAAACTAAAGAGGAACTACTCCCTCCTTTCCATCAGAGATCACTCCATCACCGCATAAAGAATGTTTACAACCAGAAACAACCAATTGTTTTTTATCAATTACTTTACAAGTCTGTATTGAACCACGATGAGAACTAGCTCCAGGTTTGTCGTCGTCTACTTCTAATCTACGAGATGCCACCTGGCTGCAGCTCTTTGTTTGATTTGTCTGAGCTCTTAATGCCTTCATTGGATGAGCGGATGGATTTACCTGCACAAGGCAGGAGTCCTCATGCTATACAAAGTAAAAGGTTAGGGGAGGAAAGACCTGATGGGTTCACCGTATTCTGTAAAACTAAAATAATAGCCCAGGCTTTTATTCGCATCAATCACTGAACTCAACAGGCCTTTATTATTAACGTGTCTTTATGGGACAGGCCTTTAATTAGATACTATTAACATCCTTATCATGAAATGGTCTATCTAATCCAGTATTATTCAACTTTAAAACATGTGGATCTGGTATTTGTGTCCATCAAATAAGCCGAGGAATTAACAGAATAAGAACTAAATTATCTTTTAAATACCAGATATTACTATACTATACCAGACAGATATGCAACTACGTCCCTCTGTGTGTTTGTGCTGCTCAGTAATGAGTATTACAGACGAATAATTACAAGTTTAGAGTGATTGTGCGCGACGTTTTTTAATGTTTGTACGTCTCCTAAGTCGACAAGATCATAAAGGAAGAGGCAAACAGAGGGGCAGTCATTTCGCCGAACACACAGGCAGTCAGACACTTGTGCAAGACCGATACCGAATACCGACCAATAAAAAGGAACCATGGAGACTACAGAAGGCCTCGTACTGTGTTTGAAAATAACAGAGTCTGTGTGAAAGTGAGAGGAGAAGTGGGAAGTGTGGGGCACCATTCTTCACAGCTGTATGGTCTGTGGTCTGTGGTGTGTTTGTGTGTGTGTGTGTGTGCGTGCGTGCGTGTGTTTCTGACCTGGGAGATGTGGTTGATGGAGGACTCCATGCGCCGCAGCTGCGAGGCCTGGATGTCCAGCAGCTGCAGCACATTGTTGGCTAAGGCATTGATCTGGTAGGCCACGCTGGCCAGGGACTGGGTGGTATAGGCTTTGGTCTCCTCCAGAGCTTTCCTCTTGTCCTGGGCCTGTGCACGAAAAGGGATTAGAGAAAGAAAAAATAAATAAATAAATAAATAAAGAGATTGAATGGGAACCCAGTTACATTATTATCGCATAACATTCGCATTTATCTTCTATCCAGGTCAGGTTTGTGGTGGATTCGAGCCAACAGAGCAGCCAAGGCATCCTTTTCCCACCCCAACTCTCACTCCCCAGACACCACGCTCTCTCTGGGGGGATTTGAGATGATGCAACTCATCCTGCAGCAGCCATGTTGGAGGCTCTGGGAACAGAGCGAGAAGAGCTAACTACAGCTCTGAACATTGAAAACCTGGCTAGCTTGGTAGAATTTAACATACTTAGATATTCATCAAAATATTGTTTGTTTGTTTTACTGACAAAGTATCATTTTGCAAGTGACAATTTTGGCTGAAAAGTTTCTGTTCATTGCTAGTACACTAAACAGATTACTTTTGTAGCACCTAGCTATGTTTGCTTGGTCACAAATTATAAATGCTAACAGCTAACTGCACTAGCGACAAAAATAAGCTGTATATTTAGCCAAAGTCTGGCGAAAATATAAGTAAACATATTGTACATCTTAATAGATAGAGAGGAAGTGGATTGAAAAGTCCGTTCCTTGTCGTTACTATTATGAAAAGTATGGCTAACGTTTTCTACAAAGCTTTAAGCTAACGTAGCTAGAAACTGTTTGAGGGCATCTTTTTAAGTCCTACAGTTAGTAACTGTTTAATACTCAAAACACAAGTTTTGTTGGACTAATCTTTTATGTATTTAGTAGAAGCTAACATTCAAAGGCAATAAGTAGTTTCGACAATAAATGAGGTTGCTGGCTAGTTAGCTTAGTTTGTTTGTTAGCTTTGCTAGGCAGCTAACTAGCCAGCAGGTTGATTTCTAACACAACTACAGTACTTGGTGCTTCTGATGAATGATTAATACTTTAAACATTTGGTGGATTATTTCTTAAATCTATTCAGTAGAAGCTCATTTAGCATTAGCAACAAAAACACAGAGTGGCTGGTTTCATTAATTAGCCTGCTGGCTAATAAGCAGGCTAATAAGGCCAAAAACAAAGTGTTTTTAAGGTTGACTGAGCCGACACAAGCTTCACCTCATAATGCTTTGAGAGTTACTAATGCAACAGTTTAGTTTTCTTGCACCATATTATTGTGAGAGGACAACAACACACTGACAGTTACAAGAAGTGGCTCAACCAGAAAAACTGTGGTAATGAGGCCCACCGCACATCAAACAGGCCGAGGCGAAGAGCAAAACTGAGCCATCGCGTTTGATCTCTGAGGGCTCTTCCCAACGCTGCTTGCTAATAAAGTTGAGTCCAAAGAGCGCTGCCTGGAGGGAACCACACTGAGCTTTGACAACAGGCTGCCGTAGCAGGGGGTATGTGCTGGTGGAGGAGATGATTACTGGTAGTAGTGGTTAAAGGGCTAAACAGAAGAACATTTGGCCGTATGGAGAAGAGAGGCAAGCGGACGGACAAAACGAGAAACAACCGTGTCACTGCGTCTCTCATTGCTGATTCCCCCGTGGCAGCGTGCAACTAATCCCGAAGCAATCCGTACGGCTAAAAGCTCCTGACCCCGCAGAGCTGCTGTGCCGGTTCGCCTCGGAGATGACAGCGTTTAGATGCGTTTCTTTTAGCGGCAATCAGAGCAGCAGATGTGTTGCGTGATAACAGCCTCAGGAAGGAGGGGAGATTCCTCCAGTGGGCTCGGAGCAAAAGGCCATCCTGCTGAGAGCACATTCACTCATGTGCACACGCAGACACCTACTAGTGACACTGCAATATGCAGCGTGGTAGATGGAGCAACAGCTGCAGGACAATGTATGAAACAAAAACAAACAAACAGCTTTATATGCATCACGGCCATTTCTAAATAGCAACTGGATGCAGTTTTTCCCCAAACAGATTACTGGACAACATATGACTGCCTGTGCAGAACTGCTGGCCTACATATCAGGCTGCATATGAGATTGTGTTTATGTTGCTAAAAACTACTACAATTTCTCAGCATTAGAAATCTATTCTATTAGAATCTATTTGAAATCCTAGAAAATGTAATTGTAGAACAATTATAAGGGCCACAAATTTCAGTTGATCTCAGCGTCTGCTGATTCAGTTTCAACCAGTCACTTTTTACTGCTGGTGCATCCTTTAACTTGGTTTTGTCAATATCTTGCAGCTGCAGAGCTCAGATAAACAGCACCATTGACATGGCAGCTACTGAACACAAACTGTAACGTGTAGAGAAAAAGTCATTTGCACCCCACATTCATTTGCAGAATCTCTGAACGTAAACATACTGCGATTTGCAATGCAAATTATCACATTGCAATACTAACAAACTGCACAATTAACTAGTTTTTGTCCATATCTTGCAGCCGTAAAAGCGCATAGACAAAACAGCACCATTGATGCTTTCGGCGCACAAATGTTCATTTGTGATGTGTACAGAAATACTAATTCACGTCCTGCATGTCTTACAAACACATTCATTCAAGGTGGTCCATGCCTCCACACAAAGAACAACATGTGATGTCGTTTAGTCCAACTTTTTCAATGGCTGCAATTGATGCGGTTTTTTTTTTTAATGTGTTCAATCCTTTTTCAAACCCATCATGCAGTCTGTGTGAATGGTGTGTCATCTATAAAATAGACCGACTGTCTTTTATTTTCGAGTCAAAGATTACACGGTGTCATATAAAATGAGCCGGTTTTGCAACAGAAAGCCCACAATGAATAAACATTTTGTCTCTCACCACCAACAAGACGATCCAGCAGCACAAGATGACTAACACCATATCAGTTTCAAATCTGAAGCTGTTAAACTAGGCCACCAAAGACTATTCAGTCATCCCCACCACTAAAGTTTGTATTTCCCCAGTGACTGCAGCCACAATGAATCACATTTAATTGGTCAGGAAAGCTGACGCAGTGAATGGAAAAGCCTGACTGCTTCCTTTCCTGGTTCACACGAGGTTAAATCTTAAGCCTCGTGTTGATCATACAAACTGTAACTCTTCATATCCAGAGCTCAGTCTGCATGATCAGTTGCATGTTTTCTTAAAGAATCAACATGTCAAAAATAAACATGCTTTCTGGACAAACTGATCCGAACTGCACTAGCTGCCAGAGACATGACGCGAGGTCAGCGGTGGGCGTCGGGGGGATGGAGGAGACACTCGATTGCATCGCCTCCGGCGGCATCTTAGTGCCGTCTGCTCCAGTTAAAGCCCCCGTCGTCCTTTCACTCGTTCACGCATCACAAGCCGGCCGTGCACAAATCCTCAAACTAACCAGATTTGTTGTTCAATTACCCGAGAATCTTTGCTCCCTATGACATCCATTGTCAGCCTGGATCTTCAAACAAACAGTGCTTGAGACACTCGCCAAGAGGTGGGGGGGGGGACAAAATGAGTGCTTGCTCAGTACAAAAAAAAAGGTAAATAATAGCGCTGGAGAGCTTGAGTGTAGTGTACCACAGCGGGAGAGAGAATGAGGTGGGAGCTCCCAGAGACCCTCGGTGTCCCGTGGGCACTTTATCTCATACTTCTGAGCTGAGTAATGACAGAAAGACACCGCAGAACATCCAGGCAGCATTAGACAGGCTGTCAGCACCTCAGCTGGGTTTAAGAAGGGAGTACAGAGGAATGCACGGCCCGTGTACACAAAGTCAAAATGTAGCTGTGGGAGCTGAGGGAAGACGGGTAATCAAACGGCCGCCTGAATAATGGCAAAGATACCAGGCCAGCGTGGAAATGTTTGACTGCAGATGCTGGAAGGAAGCGTGAATGTGACGTTGAGGAGCTAGAAGGGAGTGGCAGTCAACGGGTTTGCTTTGTTGCATGGGAACCTTTTGAAGCACTGAACTTTGCAATTCACTCCGTCACCAATCCAGTCTGGCAAGATAACGGCAAACAACCGCAAGTGAAATGCAAATATGTTTTTTTCTTTCACAAACAAGGTGGTGCATCGAGTCTCAAACCACAGAAGGGAGTCGGCATTTTCATACTTAAAGTTCTCTCATATAGAAGTCAATCGGTCAAACGGGTTTTTTTTTGGTTAGATGCTTGAAATAATGTCTTTAACATCTTCTTCCACAACATGGTTTGTTTGTAGCCTACCATTCTTCTTATGGCTGCACTAAAAGTGGTGTTTATTTGTGAAGTTTATCTTGCTGGAAGTATCATTAATGTCTTATTTTCTCTCGTTATCCAAGACCCGATGGAACAATCTCGTTGGCTTTATGTCGAGGGGAAACGGGGCGATGCTAACTTCCGGTGTCGGCTGAAGGAGAAGTCCAGACTTCCTCCCTTTGGAAAAAACAACTGTTCAGGGGTCAGAGGAGATACCTCTCCGCCCAGGAGCTGGAGCACAAACAGCAAAATGGAGAGAATGAGTTTTCCTCCCGACTCCCTGACATGACTAAGAGAAGATCTGAGGAAGTGAGACATCAAACCTCACTGAATCATCCCTCCAAAGTTTGGAACATGACAAACCTTCAGCCTCTTTACTCAGGGATTAAAGAAGAGTTAAAACGTGTATGAACATTTGATAATGTGACAACATCACGCAGGGTTTCTACTGTGCAGTCTGCTGCTGGGTTTGTACAGCTGACGAGCACATTTGCGTTTATGTGCTCCCACTCGTCCGCAGGGGACATGCTCTCGGTACAAAAAAAACAAAAAAGCGTTGAGGAATGTTTGGAATCCTTCAACATGTAATAGGTCTCCAAAGTGTTGCTGGAGAGCTACAGTGTCAGCAGCGCACAGAGGAATAAAAACAAACATGCTGTAACGGAGCAACCGAGGATTCATTTTCCCTGTGAGACTGACAGGTCGGGTTAGAACGGGAGGGGAACGTCACGGTACCCAACACGGTCCGGAGCAGAACGAGAGTAAATCCAGCAGGAAGGTCTCACATGGCACCTCGTATCGACCGCTGCAGACCAGACAGGGTGAGATAAGTGAGGCGGGGGAGGCAGGCGAGAGCCGCTGCTTTATGGGTCGTTGTATTGAAGTGGCTGTCTGACGCCGACTGAGGAATTAAGTGGAGAACTGATAAACGTGAGACTAGAAGGACACGTTTAGGATCTGATGGAGTGGAATTCCAGCTACTTCTTGGTAGCTGGAAAACCCAATGGTGACTCATCTATTACTGCTACTACTGCAATGTGATCAGACACGATCACATGGAAGGACAAACACCAGCATCAGTCATCCCGGGTCTCGTTCCCTTTATTTGGTCCATGATGACCACTGGTCACACTAACATTTTACTCACCAGCTGTCATACTCTGGTGAGAACAACACTGATTGGGGTTCACTATGACGGGTAGTTAGGTGTTAGTACACGCCTCATCTTATATCCTTAAATTTAAGGGATCCTAACCAAAAATGTTTGTTCATGTCATGCGTTTGTTAGAAATAATACAACATGAATATATAAAAAGCTTAGTATCGGTTAGATGATGACAAAGACTCAGAATGCACTAAAACATGAGAATAACATCCAGGTTGACAAACACCAGAGTCTCTCTTTAAGAGTACAGTTGTCACAACCAGTGCTATCACACTTTGTCAAAACATATTGATCTTAAAAAACATAACAGATATCTCATCAACAACATATTCAGGAAGCACCCAAACTTTTCAAAATGAAACGTATGGCCGACACAAAGCCACCTGTGGAGACGGCCGAGGTGGTGAAAGTGACTCTGGGACGTGTGGAGAATCAGGAAAAACCTTCAACCCTTCCTCCAGCGAACTCTCAGCGGCACGCGCCGTGAATTCATAATTCCTCCGGGGCAGATGGAGGCTGGCTGAAAGGCCGTGAGGTCTACCTAACCTTGAAGAACCGCCAGCGCACAATTAAAAGTTCCTTCAGCGTGTCAGAGAGGAGACACGAAGAGGAAGTCTGTGCATGGAGGAAACTAATTAACCTTTCTGGAGCGACTCGTTCAGTGGTCGCTGCTCTGTACCTGAAACAACACACTGAACTGATAAATAAACACAAACATGAATCTATTTTTCAGTGTTTCTTCACCAGCAGGATGTGAGTTTGGGTGGATTACTCACACGTTTCTACATGAAGACGAAGAGTGTGAACGATGCATGAAAACACTACTTCTGTATGAATCCAACTACAAGCAGACAGTCTCCGTAACAGATCGGCCCGACCGGTCCGGACCAAACCAGCCCCGGTCAGCTGAGGGGGAAGGAGGGACAGGTGGTGAGAAAGGATGCTGGGAGAAAAACAAGGCCACTCCGCAAAGAGAGTGGGCGAGAGAGAGAGAGAGAGAGAGAGAGAGAGAGAAAAAGAAGGACAGGAAACAAGGACGAACCCAGAGAGACAACTGTGTCAAGGAAGGACAAAACAGCCACATGCTCTCTCATTAATTCACCTGAGAAACCTGCAGAGGACAGGTAGACCTACAGGCTGTATGAACAGGACAGGTAGACCTACAGGCTGTATGAACAGGACAGGTAGACCTACGAACAGGACAGGAGCCACCTGCATTCACTACCAACACATCAGCACACATTTAAAAAGACGGATCATTTAAGAGCAGAACCAAAAGCTCAAGTGGGCATCATGCTGGCTCAGCACGTCACATGTCCTGAGGTTGCAACACGGCATCTGATCCGACATCTGACCTCTCAGTCTGCCACTTTCACTTCCCTATTCCTTAGTACTGTATGTTTATTCAACCTGAAGTCCTGATGACTATTTAGCAATCATCATAATTGTTCAATTATTTAAGCCCTAAAATATGTGTTTGATGCTGTCATAAAAGAATAATTTTGCACTTATAGAGTATTTAGTTTTCTTTGTTCAACAGATGATTAATTGGCATTTTAAATTTAAAAAAATCTAAATATTATTCCATATATTTTAACAGATTACATGATCATTGAGAGATTCATTTATCATAAAATTAAACATTAATTGCAGCACAAAAGTCAACAAAATTATAATAATTCATATCAAGCGATATCTGCTAAAATTATAAATATGTTAAAAGTAAATGAGAATGTTTTTCAGAGCCACAAGTGGAATATCTAGACCTTCAAATGATCAATTAATTGCTTTCTCAATGAAATATTAAAAAAGTGAGAAAAATGCCAAAATGTAAAAATTCCCAGAGCCCATAATGACATCTTCAGACTGCTTGCTTTTTCTTTGTCAGTACAAAACCCAAAGATATAATATTTACTTTCACACGACAAAAGAAAAGCTGCAAATCCCCAAAACTCTAGCAGCTAGATGTAAAAAATAAATAAAATACATTTTCAAAATCGTTGCAAATTGATTTTCTGAATCGTTTTTCAGCTCCACAAATATGAAATGCAGCTCGGGCACATCTGATAGAAGCTGAATCACAGTGTTTGTGTTGAACAATACAGTCTGCAGCCTCTCAGTGAGCTGCCAACAGGACCAGGTGGCCCACTCTGCATACAGCGCGTATGCGTCCTTGTCTCAGAGGTTAAACAAACCAACTTGCATCAATTAAACCAAAAAAAAAAAATCTATTTCCAGGGGCAAGAATACATAAATGTATTAAAATACAAAGCCCCGGATTACTCGGACTAATCTGATCTAAAGGGTGTTTCTAGGCTCCATTATGAAGCCACTTCCTGACGCAGAGCGAAGGCATTTCCAGGGAGTCATTCTTCAGAGTCAACAGGAAACATAACTCTGACCTGTCGGCGTGTCATAGAACACACACACACACACACACACACACACACACACACAAAAGTCACTATCAAGTTGAGAAAGTGGGGCAGTGATCTGTCTTTGGTAAAATAGAGCTTTCACCATCTGCTGAGCTGAAACTCACAACACCACGGCCTCCATGACAAGAACCAGGAGAGGAGAAGAAGAAGAAGAAGAAGAAGAAGAAGAAGAGGGGATGGAAACGTGAAGGAGGAGCGCTGAACGGACGAGCCGATTCGAGCTGAGGCATGTTGATATGTGCACGGTTCACAGAGTGTGTGTGTTTCTATACAGAGAGAGAGAGACAGACAGACAGACAGAGGGAGATAGACAGAGGGAGAGAGAGACAGAGAGAGACACAGACAGACAGAGAGAGAGAGAGAGGGATTATGAAAAGTGCACTGTTAGTCTGACACTCGCTTCACACAAAGTGCCGAAAAGCTTAAAATCCTGATTTTTTTTACGTCAGCGCTTTGAAAACAAGATGCTGAAACAGAACAGAATCCTAAAATGCGTTTGACTCGTGAGACAGAACTCTAGACAGAATAAAAGTCAGAGCCAACACTGTACACCCATCCCTACTGTATCTTTATCCACAGCTACATTCAAATGCATTTTACATCTCATTATTTTGGGTCCTAGTGGAGATTTCTATCCATTATTAGCTAAATAGTATTTTCGAATCCTCTTCTATTTACCAACAGTGCTTTAAAAACACTATATCAGCAACAAACATTAGCTACTGTGGTCGGGACTCAAAGGTATCAGCAGCTGGCCTTCAAAACTTACAAAATACTGTCACGCCGCAAAAGATTTACTCAAAAGTAAACAACATTCCAGCGTTCCTGCTTTTATTTAGAGATCTCAACACAGTGTCAGGGTGGGAACATCAGTTCATAACACCTTTATCTCATGTCCCAGCATGCAGTAGTAAACAAGATCCACAGCAAAGATTCCCACATGCATGTATGTCACTATCATGATCAATACATGAGTAAAAATAACTTAATTTTAGGGCTCATGTGGGACAAAGACGACAACCTTCCCGCTCTGTTTAGTTTGCGTGGGTTACGACACAGAGCTTCAGAGCCTCACAAAGCCAAATCACCAGAGGAAGAACCAGAATAACTGAATTACAGGGAGTCCTCTGGGAGTACAGCTGGAGAGGACACGCCCTCTCTGGAGCTGATATGGTGGCTCGTCTTCCTGCTCAAAAAAAAAACCGTTTGTGTGTCACTCAGCTTGTTCTCGGGCTTCTTTTAGAAGTGGCTTACCACCAATATGTTGTGCTAAAAGTAACTTAAACACATCCTCTGTGACACCACAGTGAAGTTTCATTATGACACATTCACATGAAGATAATCCTGCTAAAAAAAAAACATGACAAAATGAGCTCCGTTCCCAGCAATAAGTTGAGCAAAATCAATAAGTCAAACCTTTAGTGACCGACTAACAAAGGCTTTGCATTCCTCACTCGGCCTCAATGCAAAAACCTGAATTATCTTTAAATTAACTCTCCATTAAGTGGCAAAAATAAGAGGCCTTCCATGCATATATGATGCTTTAATGTGGCATTACAAGTTGTTTAATGGTTAAAGAATTATGCAGCAACAATAAACATTATGGGATGTCCACTGAGTGCTTACAAGCCCATAATGTAGACACTATAAACCTCCACTGTAGTGTCCCAATGGGGACCTTTTGTGGTATCAAATGGTGAGTATAATGACCTTTTGGAATGTAATGGACTGCAATGTTACTATAATATTCATGTGGATGTTTAGTTGCCCCACTAATGTAGTTAAAAAAAAATGTTTAGGCAGTGTTAAGGAGAGAGAACTGGAGGAACTTTCTTGTTGGTGTCTTTTTAAAAACAATTAAATAAATTAATTTTTAGCAGCTAAAACTTGCTGCTGTAAAAAAAACAGACGTTTTTCAAACCGACCCTGTGTGATAATAAAATAAATAAAAATAAAACAAGTAGACACACCCTTGGAATAAATGTGGATTAATGGGAGCAAACTAGATACTAGGTGTCTAAATTTCCCACGGTTTTGAATGCATCACACTGTTCCTGCAGCCCTTTGGGTGGAGGAGCTCATTCCAGCGTCTTTATCCACGTTTCCTGTCCCAACAACCCGATTCAATCCCGGGCGTTTTACGCGACAAAAGGCGGTAGTTGCTCTCTTACCTGCACATAGTTGTTTTCGCAGTAGTCTGCTACTCTGGTGAGGTTTTGGTAACTCTCCACGAGCGCTCTTTTACCGGCAGGAATCTCTTCCTCTAACAACATTTGTAGCTCTGCCATCTTTCTTACATCCCTCCTGCAGAGCCTCCCTTCTCTCTCTCTCTCTCTCTCTCTCTCGCTGCCTTCCCTGTGATTGAAACGGCAACCAGCTCAGCTCTGCTTCAAAAAAAAGAGAAGAAGAAGAAGAAAAATCCTCCGCCTGCTATTGGATTCCTGCCCTCGCGCTGGCGTGACCTCAATCCCGAAGATCGTCTGTGGTGAGAAGGAGGAGTCACTCTGCTGTGTAAAAGTGGGACCATATTGGAGCGCTGGATTCAAGATGTCTGAGTTATACGAGTACATTCTTGGGAAATATTTTCACTGGGATGGTCCATTAGAGGAAAAAACAGTAAATATAAAATGTGAAATCATAATTTAATACCTAATTCTGAAAGTGACTATTATACTTTGGTAATTTTAGTATATTTTGATGCCAATAAATTGTACATTTTAGTGCATGATTGAGTATTTATTTGCCCTCCAGTCTATGCTTATCCTAAGTGCCATTATTATACATATATACCTAAACACTTAAAGTTTATTAAAGTTTTATGAGAGTATTACATACATGGACTTGGACTACCACAAGATTGTTGCTCTTTTGAAAACTTTGTATTGCTTTTTAAACCATGCAATGAACATAAAATACTTTATTTTAAAGATTAAATAGCAACAAAAAAGCCACGGTCACCAATGAATATTTGTCAATTATTCAGGCCTCTACTTATGAAAGCAAGTTCTCTTCTTTTTTTGTCTTCAGTTATACATGTTCATGAAATTATGAAATACAATTATTTTTTGGTCTTTGCATTGTGGCCAAAACAAACCTGAGGTATCTTTACATCTACCGTTACCAATTATTATTATTTTACTGATTCATTCATGATTAAATGCCACAGAATAATGAAAAACACATCACAATATCATCAAGAGCAAAGTGATGTATTCAAATGTCTTGTTTTGTCTGACCAACAGTCCAAAACCCCAAAAATATATAAGCAAATCTTTACATTTGAGACCTGGAACTTGGACATTTTTGGCATTCTTGCTATAAAATAAGTGATTGTCAACATTCTTGGTGATTATGTCGATTGAGTGATACATTAATCAACTTATTTCAGATCTAGTTACCTTACAACGAGTTGTGGTACTCGTAAATAAAGACACAGTGAGAGCTTATTCTTTTTTGCCCCCGTCTACCCATCACCCTTCCAACTGTAAAAAAAAAAAAAACACGGATCCTGACTAGGGATTATGGGAAGTGTAGTTTTACTTATATCTGTAACCATGACGGGTTCATGTAATGAATTCGAGACAACATCGAAATATAACACCACAAGAATTCTTATGTTTCACTTCTTCATAGTTTTCTGATTTATTCAGTACACATTTGTCAATTTCTGTTGAGGCGGACGTGAAGGATTGTGGAGCTTGTAGGAAATATCGATATGCAGTAAGAAAAAAAACTACAACTCCCTTACTACACGTCTGTCTGGCTTTATTACACTGTTCATGGCGTCTGGTCGAAGGCTAAAGACGGGTCGCCTTCTGACAGACAGATAGGCCGTTGGCTTGAACGGTAAGTGTCGGTTTTTAAGCGGTTTCCGTTGACAGGACGTAACCGTTACATATTGTATTCAGCACAGATATTTGGGGTAGTTAGAGGTGTGTCGCATAGCAGATGATGTGTCCTACATACACAACATCCTACTGGTGGCTACAACAACAACAACAACTTGCAAGTTTGACTAAACGCTAGTTGCACGAGCGCTGTCAAAGTCTGTGTTTTTTTTATTCACTTCCTGTCTGCAGGTTATTTGTGTTGCCTGCCTGCAGTGTGACACCATGGAGGTGGAGAGAGTCATCGTGGAGGATGAGAGGCGTCTGACCCTGCTGAGGTTCGAGGCTGCCGTCAGAGTGATCAAGAGTCTGGCCCCGGATGGTGAGTTCACGAACGAGGCCAGTTGATGGCATCAGAATGGTGTCAGACCTGGTTAAGTGCTGGTGCAACAGCTTGTGCGATTTAAATATAAAGGGGCTAATCCACTTTGCTTGCAGTGTGAGGAGCTTTTCCTCCCTGCTACAGGTCTACAGGTGAATGCAGAATCACCTGTGAATGTCTTGTGTTGTCTCTTTTCACAGAGGTATACAACAGTAGGAAGAGTGCTTCGAAAGCGGCTATTTTGCACATTGTCAGTGTGAAATGTCCTTTATTTCCCTCAGGTCCCTTTCAGCCCTCCAATGATATGATGCTCAAGTTCTACAGTTACTATAAACAGGCCACTGTGGGCGCGTGCAATATACCCCGACCTGGCTTCTGGGATGCGGTTGGCAAAGCAAAATGGTAATGAATAAAAGGAAATACACAACCAGTCAATGTGTTGTAATTGTAGCCTAGATGTGTACATATTTGTGTATTTAATCACACTAATCTCTGTGGTTCTTCTATTACTTACTTTCAGGAATAATTAGCACAAGTTGCATGAGTACCACAGTCTTCAGTGTTGAAATTGATGTGTGCACATTGCGCAACCTGTTGCTTTTGTCCCACTTTGACTGTGTTGTGTTTTTGCACAGTGAGATCAAATTCCCTCCGCTGAGTTTTCTGACCAACAGCTCCTCCGCCTTTAGTCTCGTGTTGTGTTCGGTGATCTCTGGACTCGAGGAATGTAACCTCTTACCCACTTTGCTGCACGGTTTCTCTCGTGGTCCCGTTGCACTGGGGGGGGGGGGGGGGGGTTTATCAGGAAATTGTACCAAAAAACACCGTAGCTGTAACTGTAGCTGCAAATAATTTGTTACGTTTCTAACAAAGATTAACTCAAACAAACTGTCCTTTTTTGACAAAGTTGAACCCCGATATAGGCGCTTTAAACATTTTTACTTGAGTAAAGTGATATGATAGCAATAATAACAATAATAATACAGTTTCTGTTTAATTTGATGATTCAGGGACGCATGGAGTTCTCTTGGAGACATGCCGAAAGAAGAAGCGATGGCAGCCTACGTGGATGAAATGAAGCTGGTGTGTAACTTTTACAGAGGAAGTAATCTGTTTTATTATACAGAAACAATAACAATTTCTCCGTGTTGCTGTATGTGATGCGTAGATCCTGGAGGGGATGCCCATGTCGGACGAGGTGGAGGAGCTCTTGCGTGTGCTCGGCCCGTTCTACGAGCTGATTGACGAGAAGAAGAAGATCACACAGATATCAGACCTGAGCACCGGTAAGGTTTTAAAGCACCGCCTTCCACTTTGTTTGTGATGTCAAAAAACCAGCATGCGGACCTTAACCTTCCTTATAATTTGCCTCTTGTCATATGCTCAGCCCGTTTGACACTGTTTGCTAGACAACTGGAAGGCAAGTATATCCCTGTCTAGATCTGTAGATATTTGGGTGTAGTGGTAGAGTTTGGTATTTGTCTGGTGTTGTAGCTCAGATGCTTTTAATGCTTATTACCAGTCATGTTGCGCATTAGTGGCACACAACATATGTGAGGATCCTTAAAGGAAGTGTTGTATTTTGGTATTTGTGGTTTTATAATTAGGTTACATTTCTTCTCACAGGGCTTGGCACGATGTTGAATTCAGTGCCGTCGAAGAGCATCACGAAGAGCATCGTCAGAACAATGGAAATGAACGGCACCCTGGAGACTCGTCCTGCCAGGCTCGAAGTGAAGGAAAAGTCAGAGGAAGAAGAGGAAGAAGAGGAAGAAGAGGAAGAAGAAGAGGAGGAGGAGGGAGAAGAGGAAGAGGAGGGAGAAGTAGTGATACGGGAGGTCAGAAAAGGTAACAAAGTTATAAGCACTGTGTCAGAAGATATTGTCAGAAAAACGTTTCGTTGACGTGCTTTTTGTTTGTTGCGATTTTATTTCAGACAAGAAATCTGCAGCGTCTCTGCCGAAGAAGAAGGGTTCAGCCAGGAGACACAAGGCGCCGCTGTCCAACGGCAAAGTGGCCAACGGGGTCACGCACCTGACCAACGGTAATCACTCCAGGGACTCCCAGGAGGGAGAGACTCTGCTCAATGGTCACCACGTGGGTAAGGAACGCCGCAAACACGTTTAAATCGTTACTGAGGACTCTGTACTCGCCTCGCCCACGGCCTGTGGTGTATCAGTTCACCATGTGATCAGATAATCTGCTGCGCTCCATTCCCAGTTTAACACTTCAGCTGCTCCTGGGACACTTTTAATGAATGTCTCTGTTAAAATGGCACACAAAGCTCCCGGATTCCTCCGTGTCACAATGCTGAGCTTTTTTTCATCGTGCTGATCTCAGATCCCGGTGATGAAGTGTCTGGTCCGAGCCACGTGGCCAGTGACTCTGACAGCGAAGTCTACTGTGATTCTGTGGACCAGTTCGGCCAAGAAGAGGCAAGTTAACGTCTTAAAGCTCCCGGTTTAGTGCGGAGGACTTGGCTCTCGCCACTGCTTCATTATTAATGTGCATCTTTCCTCCCAGAGCTCAGAGCACAACCGCTCTTTAGACAACCTGGACGAAGAGGAGAACCACGTCCTGCCGGGTCTAGAGGAGCCACAGACGGATGTTCACGGCGCACTGCGGGGCATCAGGTGTGGAGGAGAAGATGGGGAGAACGGTGGAACGATGTCACAGAGACAGGGACCGAACACAGACCGGCCGGACGGCTCTTTGGTCAGAAGAGGACGGGGTAAGCTTGTCCTTCTTACTGTGTTTTTGAGGTCTGCAGGTACAACAGTCTGAAGAGGACACCCTGTGTCAATTGTCTTTTAGGCTCTCTTGGCGGCGGCTCTGAATCTCTGATGCCCATGTACGGTGGTGGGGACGGTGACGGGGACCGCTGGGGAGGAGCGCTGACACCTGGAGGGAGCCTGAACGAGCAGATCGTGGTGGCGTTGGCTCGACTGCAGGAGGACATGCAGAGCGTTCTGGAGAGGCTGCAGACCCTGGAGGCTCTGACTGCTAGCCAGGTGAGACCCGTCCGTCCTCTTAAGCCATGAACATGCAACAACAGGCCCAACAACATCACTTTTACACTGAAACAACTACTTGTGACTACGTTCTGTGTAAAGAGAGGGCAATATACGTGTCTCAACCACACTATTTTAATTTTGAATCAACACGACACGAATAAAATCCTTCATACATAAAATAGTTTTTATTACAGGGAATGACAGAGAACACGGTCTATAAATAGCTTATGAGGGTTTTATGGACAGAAGATAAGGGGTTTGTACTTTGACTTTGTAAACACTGAGGACCGATAATAACAAACATACTTTAATGATCTCTACCTTTGACAGAAGTTTATGGACTTTTCTTTTTTAAATGTATTTCTTGCTCTCTCTGCAGGCGAGATCAATGTCTCTGCCTCCAACGTATGCGTCCCCCCTGGTGAATAAGAGGAGTCAGGTAAACCTTTTAAAATACTTTGCACTTTTCTTTCTTCTTTTTAATCCTACACCAAAACAATGTTTCAGGTTTTACGATCACTAGTGGGAACTAAAAAGATTCAGACCCGTCTGATATGAAATCATGCCGATTGTTTCTAGAAACCGTCCTGGTGGCCTTTCGACATTTCTCCCACCAGCTTGGCCTTCGCTGTAATTTGGCCGTTCGTGGTGCAGTGGCTTATTCGCCTGTACCTGCAGAGGAGGAGAAGGTATTCTTTTACAGAATAATAAAAGCTTGAATGTGGAATTTAAAACTGCAATACCCACCTTAACTCCTTTTCAATGTTCTTCAACAGGCGGATCAACTGAACCTGCTCCCGTGGGCATCGACGATGGAGAGGAGTCGTCCACATGTCTTTGGTTGGGTTGATAATGGCGGTAACCCCCCCCCCCCCCCACTTAGACTCACAGCCACGTAATTTGCTTTTGCACTATGAAGAAGGCACCTAGAGTGAGAGGAGGATAGCTCTCCAGTGTGTTGTACTGTGGATGTGGAATCAAATAGAAACATGAATGTATGGAGCAGCCTGTGACAGGGATCTTTGTCTCTGTAACGACTGCTTTGTGTTGAGAGGGGGAAACTTACACATGTTGTCAGCGTTTTGATAAACCTGAACTGCAGCAGCTTCTCCGTTATTTCCATAAGTAAGGCGGCTGTGTTGCACATAAAATAGATGAGATACTTTGTTGTTTTGAGCGTAACGCTCGATGTGGTAATAAATTCTTACGATTATCTTTCATTAGTTGCCCAGAAAATGCTGCTATAATATGACTGTTGTGTAGTTTAGAAGGGAGGATTGAATGTAGTAATATATTGATATGTGCGATTCTGATAAGTTCATATTTATTGCTTTTAGCAGGTTAAGATGAAGGCGCTGATGGCCAGATTCCAGCCGTATAAATGAGGTTGAAGTAGCCGTTAAATGTTGCGTGTCGGTTAGACAGCGTTGACACCTGTCCTGCTGCACATCAGTCTGTGCTTTACGTCAAAGTGCTCTCCATTCATCATCGTTTCCCAAATACTGTAGAAGAAGTGCCTGAACATCAGAAGGTACATTCATACTGTAGGTGGCATTATGGTTTCTTACATTCACAGATTGTAGCATAACTGTTCCAGCGCTGGACCAAATTAACATTAATCATACAACCTCGTGAGAATCTCAGCCGTCTGATTATTAACACTCGTCGCTGTGTTTACGCCGTCCAGATTTGAATCTGTGATGTAATATGTTTGTAAGCATATTGTGGAAAGATTTCGTGTGAGTGATATTAATCAAAGGTTTGCAAAGCAGTGAGATCTATGTAAATTGTAAACAAAAGCTGTACAGTTCAGATTAAAATGCAGTATTTTAATTGCATTTCCATGTATTAATGATGTAGAATACTATATAATGGACTAATGTTTGCATCTGCAATAGCACTAATATTTCTCAGAACCATTATGTTTTAATAAAGTAATAATTTACCTTTCTACTGAAATGTGCCGAGGCTTCTTACCTTCTCTGCCTGTGGACAGAGTGGTGTTTGCATGCGATGATCCAAGCCGCAAATAAAGTTTGTTAAATATTTTAATTCGTCCAGATTATTTCAAAGAAATTGTTTGATATTTTTGGAAATATTTGTTTGTGCGCTTTCTGTCTGAGAGCTGGATGAGAAAATGACTTCATGTACGGGTAAAATGCTACACTTAGCTTAGACAAAAGTAAGAGTTGTGTTGATCTCATCTCTCTGTAATAAAGCAAATATTGGAAAATGTCACGCTGTCCTTTAAAACACACTTTAGATTTGTATCAAATAAGCCGCTGTGATGTTTGATGAGTTACCAGAAAAGGCACAAAGTACATCATGTTACAAACAAGATTTTATTTGTATTTTTTTCTTAGAATGAACAAGATAAAATGTCACAAGCAGCTGTGAACTTATCTAAAAGAACTTGTAGTGTGAAAAACAGACAAAATTACAAACACAAGTGACAAAAGCAGCAAAAAGAACTTATTACAACACAAAGTACTCTACTCCGGACTTAAAACAATGACACAAAGTTATTAACAAGATTTACATATAAAATAGATTAGTCATGAATATATTACCATGTTATTCAGCAGTATTGTACCCTTAAAGAGGGATTCAGGGGGCCCGCCCACCCAGTCTGCTATCAGCAGGGGAACATTACAATGATGAACAGTGCAGCAAAACATGGAGCGGATCTGAGGCTCAACACCGCGGAGCAGCGCCACATGAACGTACAGATAAAGTCATTTAATCAATACTGCAACAGAAATCAAAGCTAAAGGAGCAAATACTATTCTGCTGGAATAAGAACCTAATTTAAGAGACATAACTGTAATATAAGTATACTAAGTTTTAAAAGAAGTTTTTGCAATGCATACTCGTCACTAAGTGAGCAGTCGACAGATTCAGTTTTATGACCGGTGATTGCACATAAGTAAAATGTTTTTAAAAACAATATTACAAGCTTGAACAGAAATCATAATCAACATCATTAGTGCGTATTTATTTGTATAATGGATCCAAAATCTGAATTTCACACGTCGACCGCTGCTTTCATAAAACTCTCAGCTGTTAAAAACAAAGTGTGCAACTCTACAGACTGAAGCCGGACACGGCGATGTGCTGAGCGTTGTTTCTCGCATCGAAGTACGAGGTGTCGGTCTCGTCCTCTGGCTGAGGGATGAAAGGCATCGGCTGGTTCTGCAGGTTGTCCCAGTCCAAGCCCTCGAACAGGGGGTGACGCTTGAGTTCTGGCAAAAATGATCAGAACACACAATTAGATGTACTGAGAACAGGTGTTGAAGCTAAGGCCAACATCAGCATTCGATTATGTGACAATTCCCTGACTACAAATACGTAAAAAGACCCAATATTTAAACTTCACCACTAGATGGCACTATTTCTTACACACTGCTCCTTTAAATTTAGAGTAAAAAATAAAAGTGGTCCTCACCCTTCAGACCAGCTCGTTTCGTCATGTCCATGGTCAGGAGAATTTCAATCGCATTTCTTGAGTTCACAGACAGTTCCTCCTCTTCCTCAGGCCAGGGGATATCTAAACATTGTGGACGGTGAAAGAAGCAACAAAAGCATTACCAATACGTCAAGCATGTTGTTCATCAAGAGCAGGCTTCATTACATATTCAAGAGGATTTTGCGGTTTTATGTTTGGATGTTTCTGCCAAAGAAATCCAAACCCACCTCTGTTGAGAATATTCTGGAAGACCAGCTGAGGAGTCTCATCGTTGAAAGGTGGCACGCCTGTGAGGAACTCGAAAAGACACACACCAAGCGCCCACCAATCCACCATGCAGTCTGGACGGAAGCGAAGAAAAGACACATTTCATACAGCTGCTGCCTCCAAACACAACACATTCCCGTTAAAGAGTGGAATACGTGTACTGCGGTGGCAGAAGCAGGGACTGAGTTAGGTTGAGGATGGAGGGGTTGAAGTCATGGATATAGACTCATTCACTTCATGAGATACCGGTTATTAACACACATAAACCTTGATTTGTGTGCTAGCATTGTGGTTCTAAAGAAGTAATTGTGCCTCTCAAGGATTTTAAATTACATTTATCACAACCATCCATTGTTGAGTTTCTAGAAAACCCTTGACAGCTGATGAATAAATGCTGCCACACGGGATCCTTCATGTCACAGACGGACTGTTCATGAATTCAAATAGCAGCAATCACGCTACAAAATGGCATGGTGCTGACAGGAACCACTGCCCTCAGTGTGTTGAATGAATGAATGAATAGCAGCTTGTACAATCAATAGGTTATTATTAGATGACATTTTGCTAAATGTCAAAAATAAAGCCAGTGCCATAACACATTCACCGTGTGCCCCGATGACCCAAAATCTGCAGAGCTTAAGAGCAGAAAGACCCTTCTGTCCAGTTAAAAGCACATCAACCTGATTCCACAACTGTTAATGTTGTTAGCTTGATGTTAGAACACAATCCCATTTTTTTTTTTTAAACCTTTGTAATCACATTTAAAATGCTGCCCCCCTTCCCTCTGATCAGGCCCACAGTTTGTTCACCAATCAAAGGGGCAGAAACAGAACCAGTGGGGGAAGAATCAGCTCATTCCCTCGAGCGTAGTAGCAGGCTGGGGGAACATGCAAGCTCGCTTGCACAAACAGCAACATCATGATAGACTTACCACACCGACAACTTCCTGAAACTCAAAGAGAACGCCGGTCACAAGGACTACAATCCATCCATCAATACCGTAACACTGTGTTGGGCTATTTTGGTGTTTGTGGAGGTGCTTGGAATTTTGAATTTCCTTATCTTACCGTGCGGTTTTCCCAACAGAAGCTCCGGAGCCAAATAGTCGGGAGTTCCTAAAATGTGTGCACCCACGACAGGCAGCGCACCCCGTCTGACGCTCTTTGGGGTCCTGAACGGGGTGTGAGAGGACGACATGGGCTGAGGAGTCTGGTGGGAGGAGGAAAGACAAGGAAATGTGAAAAATGTAATTAAAAACCCTTCAATAAATAACCTTTGTGAGAATGAGAATGTTGGTATTTTTACGATGAATTCTACAACTGTGCAGCCGGCCCAGAACCTTCTTCTAAACGGTGTCCCTGCATGATCACCTGATAGAGCGAGCTGTTGGAGCTCGGTCTCTTCTGCACTGGTGTAGCAATGCCAGACGCAGAGTGGTGAGAAGCTGCGGTGGAGACGTCCATGGTCTCGACAGAACCGACGCTAAACCGGGACGCCCCCGACAGGTTGGAGCGGTCAATGGAGCTGCAGTAGCTGCGGAAAGCTACGATATTCCGCGGCTTGAGGAACGACGGCGACTGTGCGACCTGATCGGGGAGCCGGTTGAGAAAGGAGCACTGAGATCTGATCCAGCCAACGTTACCGAGTTTGGGTGTTCCGGTGGTGACAGCAGACGGAGTTTGTGGGAGTGATTCAGTGATGGACATGTCTGTATTCCCCTCTTGCTCCGCGTTCCTGTTTTTGGAACACTTGCTTGGCTTGACAGATGCCCGGCTGTCGATAATGAGCGACGTTTCGTGCATGGACCCGTCAGAGTCGAGGCTCAGGCTCCTGCAAATGTCGCTGTTCTCATCAAGCGGCGACGTGGAACTCGAATGAGACTGATCTTCGGCTCCGTCTTCAAACACCTCCTCTGTCGGCTCCTCCAGCTCAGCGAACAGGCTTTTGGCCACAACAATGGGGCTGGAGCGCTTCGGGATCCGGTCTCCAGCTAACCCGATCCCCTTGGCCATGAAGTCATCTATCTGGATGGTGCAAAATGTTCCAGTGAGGCCGGTGTTAAACCTCGCCGCCTCCTCTGGAATCTCGCAGCATCTCTCATAAGCGGCATTACTCTTCTTGGCTCGGATCTCACAAAGCTCGGGGCTTCTCTCCACGTCGGAAAATCTTCTCTTTGCAGACGGACACATTTCCTCCGGAGCTGTGGAAACAGACTCCTGTTGGTTTGCACGAGGCGTCTTTTCTGCGAGATGGTCTGGATCCGAGAGAGCGCTGGTGGCCAGCTTTAAGGCCATGTACGCCTGTTTAGGCCCTTTGGACTCAGAATAACTTCTCCCCTTCTGTTCATTAGCATGTTCATTTTCTTTCTGAAGATGAAAGATAAAAAGGAAAGTTAATGTCACCTAATGAAGGCAGATCATCAGCATCCAATCCAATTGTATCTGCTTACATCTACACTAAAAACGTCACTAAAGCGTCTGCAATGAGGAACTATTTTAAACTACATAATAAAATTAAGATTTGGAGGTGACAAAGTTAGTCAGGACTCCCCTAATCAAAACATAACATTGTTTAATAGACTGTAAATGACATGCAGTCTAAGATCACTGACCTCCTCACACTCCCACAGTGGACTGATGCCACCTTCAGTGTCGGTGGTGCTGCCTGCACTTATCGTCTCAAACCTCTTCCTGGTCTTCAGCAGCGAGGGAGTCAGGTTTTTAGCCAGGTTGTGAGGGCTGAACATCATATTGTTGGGTCCTATAGAGACAATACAGACACAATGTTTCAACACACTTTCAATGCCAAGCTCTCACCATGAGTCAATGCTACGCACACGCCTCCTTTTATAAAAAACAGTTGTTGCATAACCAGTCATTCCACAACGGTAATTAATGGGCAGAGAGAGAAAAAAAAGCCAAGATGTGCATCTCTTAATTAACTATAATGACCCGTTTTCCAAGGAACCGGAGAGTAATGCTGATCTTTTTTCCTCATCAAGGGAGAACCAAGAGAGCTATTCCTGTGTTTGATTTTGCCACAGGACATGGGACTGGACACAGCGGATGCGCTGCAGTGACGCTTGCTTTCTCCTGCAGGTGTATTCTGTGTTTGATTAAAACAAAAAGGAAGAGTCATTATTCAATAACTATGCATAAAGCATGCATTTCACCAGGCAATATTATATTAATTCACTTACAAATCCAATGGCGCTGATTAAGGAGAGGACTTGACCCGGGGTGCGGAAGTAATCTTGTCTTGGTTGGGCCAAAGATGGAGTAGTAAGGATATCCATGAGACTCAGCTCTGATAGAGATGAAATAAAGGAAATGTTACAGACATTACAAGCAGGGATAGTCACAATTTGTTCAAGTGTCCAGCTGGTGGGACTCATACCGTGGTCAAGCTTGACTTTAGAGAGGCCGAAGTCGGTCAGTTTGATGTGACCTTTGTTGCATATAAGCATGTTGTCTGGCTTCAAGTCCCTAAAAAAAAAAAAAAATTCCAGGTCACACAATACATCTCACCAGGCGGATAAATCAGTATTATACACATGAACTGACATTAAATTGTACCTGTGGATTATACCATGACGGTGGAGGTAGTCCAAAGCCAATGCAACCTCTGAAAGGTATTTCACAGACATATCCTGGTCGAAGTATCCATAGATGTGAAGCAGAGATTTGACATCTCCACCAATGAGGTATTCCATCACCTGTAAGTCACATGCAAATTAAACTTAAGTAGTAACTTTAGATGGGTTGTGTGCAAATGTCATTATTTGGTATTCTTGGTGTTACCAGGTAGATCTTGGTGGCTGTCTGAAGGGAGTAGAACAGGTGAACCACGAAGGGGCTTTTACTCAAAGCAAGTGCATCTCTCTCTGCCTTCATCTGGCCCGTCATATTTTTGTCCACCATGTCTGCTTTCTTCATCATCTAAAGAAAAAAAAAATAAAAATAAAAAATATATATATATATATATATATAGAGAGAGAGTAATTTAAATTAAACTATAATGAGCATCATGGATTCACAGTAGTCAAAGTCCAAATAAACTCACCTTAATGGCATATAATCGCGTATTGCACTTCTTCCGTGCAAGGTAGACTTTGCCAAAAGCACCGCGGCTGATGGGCTTCAAAACGGTGAAATCCTCGATTGAAGGCGGTTTAGGAACCTCCACCGACTTATCATTTGCAGTAGAGTCGTGCTTTTCATCGGCGTCCATTTTTATTAATAAACGTTTGTCAATTGAGGAATTGGGTTGCGTCTGCAACAGCCAGCTAGCTCAGAGTAAACACTTGCATGTTAAAACAACAATCTCAGGTTTGTTTTGAATTTTTTTGAATTCGCTGCTCTTTGGGGTCCTCTGACGTCCGTTCGATTTAGCTGTTCAACTACTTGCCTGTATGCAAATCCTAATATTATCTTGATGTGGGCTGTAATTAAGTGCCGGTTATTCATTGTATACGTCGAATTGCTGAATGTATTAACATTTATCAAGATAAGGTAGCTAGTATTTAAAGATATGGTGTAGTATTTCTGTATATATATTTTTGTATTGTATTTTTTGTTGCTTTCTCTTAATTTTGTTTATTTTATTTTGCTCCAAGCTGCTGTGTGTTGACATGTGTATTTCATTCATCAAATACTCATATATATATATATCTTAATATTTTTATATTTTCATTTTAATCAGGCAGTAAGGAACACACACACACACACACACACACACACACACGATGTGGCTAAACATATAAATTGTGTAACATTCAAGCTTATTATCCCTGTAGGATAAATAAAGAAAACATTTAAATAAGTAATAATAGTAATATTTCTGTCAAACATCTTTTTTATTCATCTGATTTGAATAAACTTTGGCTGTTTGGGGTCCACAAATTGACGATGTAATGACGCAAGATGCACCCAGTAGTAAATCCCGACATGACGTCATATTGTAGTCCATTTGACCCTCAGATGCCGGAGAATCCATTTGCAGTTTGTTAGCTAACGTTAATCTGCTGAAAGTTGTGTAACGAGGAAAACAAAAAGGACACCCCGCTCGCAGGAGGACTCGTTCGATAGAGGGACTCTCTCCTCACACAGCAAACATCCTTCTAAGCTCCTACATTTGAATTTAATAATGTTTTCACTGTCAACGTCGTTTCAGCCACAGCAGGTAAGCCTGACTGGATAGCGGATTGTTTTATCAAGCTAGCTAATGTGTATTCTTCTGTCAACGTAGTTAGAAAGTCAGCGGTGTACGGGACAGACTGTTGTGGGAGGTGTTATAGCAATAACGAGCTCTGTCTGTCGTGTGTGTGTGTGTGTGTATGTATATATTATATATTCTGTTATGGTCAATGACAACCTAGCTCAGCTAACGTTAGCATTAACAAGTCAACGGTAGATCTCTTCATAAGCAGCCCACACTTACGTCACGTTATCAGAGTGAAGTGTTTCAGAGCACGTACGGGGATTTTTTTTTTTACCTGATTTGATATGTTTAGGTTTAAAGTAAATTGACATTTCAGGTTCAGGTTACATAACTGGAACACGTCTGACGTATGTGCACTGATGTAAGCGTCCTGGCTGGAAGAGTTACATGAAATAAACATCAACTTATGCGAGTGTTGAGTCCATGCAGTGACAGAAGGATCCCATCGGGACTGTTCCTCATCCTCCTCTTTGTTTACCTTCCAGATGATAGTGCCCATCAGCCAGCTCATCAACGCCCTCCACTCTCTGAAGAGCTCGGCCACAGCTTCAGTACAGACACTGCACAAAGACTACATTCCAGAGCACAGTTCCTATCTTAAAGAGGTGAGACACGGATACATGACATGATCTCATGAGGGTACAAAAAGTATTTCAATGTGTTACCCTATTGTTCACTGTTTACGTTGGAGAACATACAGTAAACAATAGCTTTGTCTTAAAAAGCCAAGCACATGCAATTATTGTCTCAGAAAGGTTTAGATAACTACTTTTGCCGTCCTCTCTCCGCAGCCCAGTGTGAGTCTGAGGGATCTGGGCCTGTCAGAGATCCGGGTGAGTCAGCTGGACGAGCTGGTCAGCAGGTTGTTGCCTCTACCGGGATCAGAAGAACCTCCTGCTGTTTCCTCCGTATGGAGGTCAAGTCACGTTTCTGCCGACAGCTTCTTTCACAACAAGCACGGTGAGCGGCTCAGGTTTCCCAGCTTTCTCAGATAATCGCACTCCTATGAAAAAATGTTACACATTTGTCAATATATTCTATCATGTAATTATGTAAAGAAACCCTTTTTTTTTTTTTTGTCTGACAGGGTTTTCACACAGAAGGTTGGGAGTGTTTGGCTCCCATATACTGCACAGACAACACCACGGTCCTCTAAGAGAAGCTTGCTCAGAGCTACAATTCTTGCCTAGTAAGAAACAATACTAAACCTGCTGTGTGTAAGTTATCTATGTGTATTAAAAGCTTGACATTTTAGGGTAGTGTTGATCGGCGTGGGTCTCTATTTGTAGTATGGGTCCAGAGTCGGGGTTTCAAGACTCTCCAATCAAAGACCAGACGGACAAGGTCCAGTTATGACGGTCCGGTGGAGTCAGAGGCCTACATGCCATCCTTCATGAAGGTCAGCGATTCTATCGGGACCTATTGAAAGGATCCGTGTTACCAAAATAATTATGGGCGGATTAGGAAGTGAAAAGGGCAGATTTTTGACCAACCAACTGTATTTTCCCCTCACAGGGATTTCTTCAGAGGGAAAAGATACCAGAAGCACAGTCACTGGACCAGCTGACGAAGCAACAGAACCTTCCTGTTAACCAGCATGAAGCCTTCAAGTCGGGTTTCACTGAGGGGTTCATGAAGTCTCAGGCCTATACTCAGAGAACACAAGGCATGTGGCTCACTTACTTAACCATCGGGCACTACAGTTATATTTTAGGATGAAAGGGAACCTCATTAGGTTATGATTGACATGAAGAACGAATATTTGTGCTCTCGTTTTACAGACTCGCTGAGGAGAACCAGGTTGATCCTGTTGGTCTTTCTACTTCTTGGTATTTACGGCTTATCAAGAACCCCGTTTCTCTCGGGTAAAGGCTCCTTTTCTGATGCTGGTTTGTTGGTTTTTATTCTCTCCCATGCATGCAAATCACCTCACGACCTCACATGCACCCTGCAAAGAGATCAAAGCCTCTCGGTGTTTTACTTGAGCCCATTTACAGCTGAAATATTTGATGTTGGTTTTTAATGTGTACCTTTTTAAGGTAATACCTTACAGTAGCTGATAAGATATGAGGTCTCTCTTGCAGTGTGCATGTAGAGTTTGACTGATTATTCTGCTGTGTAGTAATACTTGAATATCTATTTCAACTATGTATGTTTTCATGGATGTATTTGAATACATTTGGATCTTCGTATTTACATTTGTGCCACAGTAAGGATATTGTAACCAACAGTTATAGTCTGGACGGTTTTTCCGGCGTACTTGTACTGATCTGGTTGTGTTTTGGGATTTGACAGTGAGGTTCCGCACCACATCTGGTCTCGACTCGGCGGTCGACCCCATCCAGGCGAAGAATGTGACATTTGAGAATGTCAAAGGCGTGGAGGAGGCGAAGAATGAATTGAAAGAAGTCGTCGACTTCCTCAAGAACCCCCAGAAATTTACTGTTCTGGGTGGAAAGCTGCCGAAAGGTATTGTATGTCTTCTCCACACGCGTCAGTTCTTCTGTTTTTAATTGTGCAGGAAATTAATGCAAAAATGTGTCAATTGGTGTTGTCCTATATGTTGTTATTTTATACTAATTAGCTCCCTCTCTTCTCCTCTCAGGGATCCTCCTGGTCGGTCCACCGGGCACAGGAAAGACTCTGTTGGCCCGGGCCGTGGCCGGAGAGGCCGACGTGCCTTTCTACTACGCCTCCGGATCAGAGTTCGATGAGATGTTCGTGGGCGTCGGTGCGAGTCGAATCAGGAACCTTTTCAGTAAGTTTGCTGAACGTGAGAAAAACGTGAGCGACCAGTTGAAGGTGTATCCAAACAACTACAATCCTTTTCTTCTTCTTCTGTGGTTTGCAGAAGAGGCGAAATGTAATGCTCCCTGTGTCATCTTCATTGACGAGTTGGACAGCGTCGGCGGGAAAAGAATCGAGTCTCCGATGCATCCCTATTCTAGACAAACCATCAACCAGCTGCTGGCTGAAATGGACGGGTCAGTTTTCTGCCTTCTTTTTAAAACTGCAGCGTGGCGATCAAGAAGTTTCACTTCTTCCACTCAATGTTTTGGTCTTTTACAGGTTTAAACCAAATGAAGGAGTCATCGTTATTGGCGCTACAAACTTTGCAGAGGCTTTGGATAAGTATGTTTACTTCCATATAATTCTACTGGAACCATTTCATGCACACAAATAACAAAAAATATACTCTGTATGTATACTATCGACTACACCTAGACAACAACTCTAAAGTCATACAATCATGTTTACACGATTTCTTATAGTTGCTTCAAATGAAGGTGAATTCGAACCTTAGCTTTGATTTCTGTATCTGAAAACATACTTCATACTCTACAAAACTCGTATTTAATAGAATTGAAGCAGTAAAGTCATGTAATTTAGCAGAAAAGAAGAGTATGTGCTGTGAATCTTAACACTACTTTGCTGCTACTTTCCAGCGCTCTGGTGAGGCCAGGGAGGTTCGACATGCAGGTTACTGTCCCTCGCCCCGATGTGAAAGGACGCACGGAAATTCTCAACTTGTACCTCTCCAAGATCAAAATGGACCCTGGTAGGTCTCAGACATCAAAGTTGGCTTTCTTATCCATCAGCAACCAGAGCTGTAAACCTGTGAGAGAACCTTTGTTTGCCACATCGGTAAAGGACAGCATTGTCTCCTGATCACTGGTCACTTCTTCCATTGTGTTTCCCTTTTCACAGCCGTGGATGCGGCGATTATTGCCCGGGGCACAGTGGGCTTCACCGGGGCCGAGCTGGAGAACCTGGTGAACCAGGCCGCCCTGAAGGCAGCCATGGACGAGAAAGACATGGTGTCAATGAAGGACCTGGAGTTCGCTAAGGACAAGATCATCATGGGTGAATATACACAACACCAGGTTTTGATCTGCTCTGCACCTCCTCGTTAGGAGACGAGAAGGATGTCAAGTCAACGAGAGAAAACCAGGACGGGAGTCGAGTGTTTTAAACTTTTTTTATTTCTGTCTTCGTCACACCAGGCCCCGAGAGGAGGAGTATTGAAATCGACAAGAAGAACAAGACCATCACAGCCTACCATGAGTCCGGCCACGCCATTGTTGCCTTCTACACCAAAGATGCAATGCCCATCAATAAGGCCACGATCATGCCTAGAGGCCCAACTCTCGGCCATGTGAGCTCTTATTTCTCACACTCCTTACCGGTAACGTTTGTGTCACTTTCTTTTGTTAAAACTAAACCTCCAGCTGATCCCTTCTGTCCTCTAGGTGTCCATGCTCCCTGAGAACGACCGCTGGAGTGAGACCAGAGCCCAGCTGCTGGCTCAGATGGACGTCAGTATGGGCGGTCGAGTAGCAGAGGAGCTCATCTTTGGAGACGAATACATCACCACTGGTGCGTGAATACAATAAGTTCATTTAGTTCATGTTTTTGTGTCAGTCCTGTTGATCTACTATATTGTATAACATTGTAAAAGTGTCTCAGAGCTGTGTATGTACGACAAAATACACATGTTGACAGATTAGTATCATTAAGATAAATACACTATTTTCATTGTTTCTGCTGGTATGAAACAAAGACTTTATTCACAACTTTAATGACATTACAATGATGATAGTACATGTTTGATAGTCGTTTGTGATGTAGCGTTAGTTTCAATCTCCTCCTGTTATTGTGCGTTTTAGGAGCCTCCAGTGACTTCGATGGAGCAACCAAAATAGCAAAGATGATGGTGACCAGGTTCGGCATGAGTGACAAGGTAACGTTTTAATTTGTACGGGTAGTGAGGGAACGTTGTGATCCTTTCCACTCACATAGAAGACAGAGTTCTTCACTAAACAGTGCCGTTCTCGGGGCTTTTATTGCTGAGGGGTGTGACCTTTTGTTTACAGCATATTCAAGTGTTTGCACAAAGCCACTTGCAAAATCTAAATGTTTGATGCGTGTCTCCATCAGAGGACTGGGACACTGATGTATTGTTGAGTTGGAATGAAAACCTGCAGTCCTCTAACATTAGTATAACCCATAATTACACCCAAGTCTGGACTCGGCTCATAATGTTCAGTAACTACAAGTGACTAAGGCTTGAGAAGCTCTATTGTTCGTTCAACCTAAAGGGTGTAATTTGGGTTTTGCTGCAGCTTGGTGTGATGACCTACGGTGACGTGACCAAGCAGAGCCCCGAGACGCAAGCTATCATCGAACAGGAAATCAGGGCGTTGCTGAATGTGAGTGTTCCCGCAGCGCTCTCAAATTTACTTTAATTTGCACATATTTATCCATTTCTTACTCACCAATCCTTCCTCTTCCCTCCAGGACTCGTATGAACGTGCCAGAAACATCCTGAAGACTTACAGCAACGAGCACAAGAAGCTAGCGGACGCCCTGCTGGCCCATGAAACTCTGGATGCCAAAGAGATCAAGCTGGTGCTGGAGGGCAAATCACTGGAGCAGATGATACCTCAGTAGAGACTTTAGACTCTTGTATCATGTATATACGAAGCTGTGCAAACGACCCACGGGCCTTTTGGAGGCCTTGTATTTCATTTGTATTCCTCTTATTTTATCTATGTGAAGATGACACTGAAATGATGTTTCACCCCTAATTTTTGTTTTCATTTGTCTTGCATTTCCTATAGAGAAGACTTCTGGTTTCACAGCGATTTTTAAAGCACCCAGTGTAATGGGATGGAAATACATATTCTACTAAAGTTCACAAGGTGTGTGAGGGGCTTGTTGTCCTTTTACTCTGAAGACGGATGGTTTCTGTAGTTTTATGCATCGGTCATATTTGGTCTCATAACAAGGTTCTCAGGCAAATGCATTTGACAAAGCTCACAGTTGATCAAGATGAGATGAATGATTTCATGTACGTCTGTCTCATTTTAAATTTGTACAGACTGGTGAGCACCATAGGACCTTAAAGTACCTCAATCTAGAATGTACCATTTGGCTGTAGCACGGTACAGGTGATACCGCTGTTCATATGTAGTTTATTTCTCTAACTGATGTCTTTCAGTTGCATCAATTTAGTTTCTTATTTATTTAAGTGCCCAAAGGTGTTTTCTTTTTCTGAAATTAGTGAGAGGCCCTGATGCCCTATTTTAAGCTCACATGTAGCTGTTAAATGAGGGGAAATGTGTATGTATGCGTGTAAAATGACTGACTTTGCTTCAGTTTGTTCCTTTTAAAAGGCCTTCTTGGAGCTCAAATAAAGGTTACCTTTACTCATGGATGTGTTCAGTTACTCAGTACATGACTCAAGTGAAGCTCTGATATTAGCCACTTCAGATCAGGAGTGGTTTATGTAGCTTACATGGCTAATGTGTCAGCAAACAGTCCCTTATTTACACATGCAGCTGGGAAACATTAGCGTTCATTTGGAGATGAATGAGATACTGTCTCAGTATTTATTTTCCTCCTGGTTCTCTGCAACTTCCGAGTGAAATATCTGGCTTTTTAAGTTGCTAACGTCAGTCTGCTGGTAGGGGCTGTACAGATAACTCAGCAATTTACAATAAACAGCTGCTACTGCTGGAAATGAGATTGATGACAGCAGTGAGACTGAATTAAAAAAAGTTACAGGTCTTCAAACTATAAGAAGCTCCTTAAAGCTGAGGGGGAACTGCTAAGTTGGTTCATCATTCAGTGACACCTTTCACTCAGGTGGCACATTGTCATTTAGTTACAGCCTTCAGTAACTCCCTTACTTTGTTAGTCTTACGCTAAAACAGTTTAAATGAATGTGTCCCCATAATCACAAGCAGAGACAGGATTTGACACTGATGCAAGCATTCAGACTTTTAACCCAGAACTTAGTTGAAGCACCTTTGATGACAGTCTCAAATCTTCATGGTATGAGAGTTTGAACACCTGGATTTGGGGATTCTCTGCAGCTTCTCTCAAGCTCTTCTCAGTTTAGATGGGGACCGTCGGTGGACAGCTATTTTCAGGTCTTTCCAGAGATGTTCGATTGGGTTCAAGTCCGGCTTGTTTCTCAGTCCAAGAGTCCTTTAAGTGCAAAGGAGGCCATTGTGCTCGTGGGAACCGTCAATGCTTCAGAATTGTTTTTGTCGCCTTCCCCAGAGCTGTGCTTCGACACAACTCTATCTCTGAGTTGTTGCAGGAAGTTCCTTTGACCGCACAGCTTGTTTTTTTGCTCTGATATGTGTTGTCTGCCGTGAGTCCTTATATAGACAGGTGTGTGTCTTTCCGAATCATGTCCAATCAATTGAATTCACCACTTGTGGACACCAATCAAGGCATAGCAACACCTCCAGATGATCAGGAGAAATTGGAGCCACCTGAGCTGAATTTCATAGCAAAGGATCTTTATACTTATTTATTTTTCTTGTTAAATAAATGAGCAAATAAATCCTGTTTTTACTTTGTTATTATGGGATATTGAGTGATGGTTGATGAGAGAAATAATTAGTTTAAAACAATTTTAGCATAAGGTTGCAACATAAATATGAGAAAGTGAAGGGATTTACATATTTTCTCAATTCACTGTATTGTATAATATCAATTAGACTGGCTTTAACATAAAGACTAGTTAACGCTGTCATGAGACATTAATTCATCAGCATGCATGTATCTGATTTGTTGGCCACTGATATGTTGTTCTAGGGTTTCTTTGTTTAAGCATACTTTTTAATTAAATTGAAAAGAAAAATGTCTGACTCGTTCTGAATCTCTGTTAACAGCTGATCAATGCATCCTTATCCACCGTAATGATGCTGTGTTTAAGAACCATGAAGTAAACGTTTTACTATTTCCTTTCAGAGACGATGTGACCACAGGTTCCCGTTGAAGAGGACTTTGTTATCTGCCAGTGATAAGCAGACTGTAGTATACACTGTTTTCTTTTGTGGAAATAAGAACAAAAACGTAGTCACTACTGCCTTTCAATGATCTTAAGTTACAATTAGTGCATTTAGTTCCAGGTGAAGGCATCTGAGATGCAACAAGGCAGAGCTCTTGTCCCTTCTCATGGCACAGTGTTTAAAAAGGATGGGAGGCACAGCAGCTCTACTTCCGGCTAAAGACAGCAGCCTGGACTGAACATTAAGCTTCACTATGGAGAGGCTTACATTTTTACTTTGGCTTTTAGAATAAAGCAACCAAGACCCCGGAGCAACTTCACTACTATCTTAAAGGAACAATGGAGGATGCAGACGATGACATAGCTGTTGTCGGGGTTGGATGCAACTTTCCTGGAGGTATGATGCAAGCATTTTGAATTTCTAAATGTTTGTTTCCAGTTGTCTTAAGGTGAATCATAGGTTTTGTGGTTTGTTTTATTATAGGTGAAGGGTTGGACAACTTCTGGAGGGTCTTGTTGGAGGGAAAGAACTGTGTTGTAGATATTCCAGCAGAGAGATTTGACACCACTTTCTGGTACGATGGCGATGATAGCAAACCCGGAAAGACACAGACAACCAAAGCAGCTCTTATAGAAGGGTAAGCATCGTCTTTTTTAAGATTGTGTGTTAATCCTTCTATTGAAAAATATTTGAATTGTGATGGATCTGCTTTTTTTTTTTATATTTCAGCTTTAATGAGTTTGATCACAAGTTTTTTGGCATTACTGAAGCAGAGGCTGAATTCATGGACCCTCAGCAGAAACTCCTTCTGCAGTGCACATACAGGGCATTAGAAGACGCGGGAGTGTCTATGGAACGCATCAGTGGAAGCAGGACTGGAGTTTACATAGGTGACCACTATCACCTATTATATTTTTAACACTAGAATTGCCAGGAGTCACTGTATACCTAAAAATGTACCCCCGTTAGAATGCACTGATTCTCAAGGTACAAGGTTCAGTTATTTATTGTTATTGTTATCTTCCTTTTTTGCAACTCAGAACAACAGTCAACCCAGGACGCAACGCTCAGTCCTGAAACCATTGTATTGTGCAAGTCTAATGCTTGATGTGCATCCATGAATGGTTCTCTTGTCCATAGTGAAGGTTAGCCTATGACTTATAATGTAACTTTTTAACAATAGGGGTGCTAAATAACATACTTTTAGTAAAAGTCACATACTTTTTATTGAAACAAAGTCCAAAAGTTTAAATCGGAAAACACAGGTGGGTACATTTTACCTGATGGCGGTTCTAGTGGTAAAACAAGCACAATTTCAAAATACACAATTTGTGATGTATACTCTGCTTTTATAATAATGTTGCAGGTCTGATGAACAGGGATTACGAGATACTTCAAAGCAACAGTCCTACAACGATAACCCACTACAATGGCACTGGGACTGCTATGAGTGTGGCAGCCAATAGACTATCCTTCACCTTCAACCTCACTGGCCCTTCTCTTGCTATTGACAGTGCCTGTTCTTCATCTTTGGTGGCTCTACATTTAGCCTGCCAGGCTATAAAGCAAGGTATTTAGTTCCCTTTTCCCCTACAAATGTCATGCCCGAGGGCAAGATAATCCTCATTTAAATGTTCCATATTTAATTGTACTTTCTTTTTCGACTAGGAGACTGTGAGATGGCTCTTTGTGGAGGTGTCAGTTGTATAATAGAGCCCAGAGTGTTTGTTGCTCTGAGCAAGGCCAAGATGATCTCACCTGAAGGGACCAGCAAACCTTTCTCCAGCAGAGCAGATGGCTATGGTAGAGGAGAGGGCTGCGGGGTTGTTCTCCTGAAGCCGCTGAAAAATGTAAGCAAGCATTGTGTATATTTCTTTACAGTCATTACATGCCATTGATAAACTGCAAACAATACCGGGTTGCATGCTAATAGTGTGACTTTCTATACAAAGGCGATGAAAGACTGCAACAAAATATGGGGTATCGTCAGCAAAACAGCGGTCAACCAAGATGGACACTCAGTCACTCCAATCACCAAACCCTCCATGACTCAACAACAGGAGCTGCTGCAAAGACTCTACTCAGAGTCTGACCTTGCACATGTCCAGTACATAGAGGCACATGGGACTGGAACACCAGTTGGAGATCCGATAGAGGCAGGAAGCATTTCAAACGTCATCGCTAAATCCAGACCTCCTGGTTCAGAGACATTGCGTATCGGCTCTGTGAAGGGCAACATTGGACACACAGAATCTGCTGCAGGTGTGGCCGGACTCATTAAGGTACTCCTAATGATGAAACATGAGACCATTGTGCCCTCTGTTTTCTACTCAGAAGACAATGCCAGTGTAGATGTAAAAGCTTTGAGTATAAGTATTCCGGTTAAAGCTGAAAGATGGGAGACCAAGGGGTCAATAGGAAGGGTAGCTGGGATCAACAGCTTTGGGTTTGGAGGCACGAATTCACATGTGATTATAAGAGAGTACAGAAAGACCACTGAACCCACTCAGATCCCAAAAAGCTGTCCAAAACTCTTTGTAATATCTGCAGCCTTTGAGAAATCGTTTATCCTGTCCATCACTGACACCCACCAGAGGCTTTGCCGCAATCAATCAGTTGATTTACAGGCACTGTCATACACTTCAGCATGTGGAAGGAGTCATTCTAGACACAAATATAGGAAGGCCTTCCCAATATCTTCCCTCTCAGATTTAGAACAACGGCTAACATCTGCATTGAAAACAAATGTTGACTCAATAAGGTCTGACATCCAGGTGCTCTTTGTGTTTTGTGGAAATGGGGTTGCTTACAGGGGTATGTGCAAGCAGCTCCTGAGAGATGTTCCTATTTTTAGAGACAAGGTCAGAGCAGTTGAGGATCTGTTTCAGAGTCATAAAAGCATCAGCATCAGCCGGTGGCTTGCTGGTGAATACGATAATGATGTTTTGAGCAAGCCAGATGTCGTCCAGCCTCTTCTTTTTGTGATTCAAGTAGGCATTGCCGCTCTCCTAAAACACTGGGGTGTCACACCGGATGCCGTGCTTGGGCATTCCGTTGGTGAGGTTGCTGCCGCTCACTGTTCTGGACTCTTGTCTCTCGAGGACGCCGTGAAAGTGGTGTACCACCGCAGCACTCTCCAGAGTAAGGTCACAGGGGGGAAAATGCTTGTTGTTGGTAATGTAGCTGTTGAAAAGGTATTACAATTCCTTCCAGAGTTTTCTGGGAAAATTTGTGTTGCAGCATTCAACAGCCCCCAGTCCTGCACTCTGTCAGGGGATGCAGATGCTATAGACATCCTTCATCAGAGGCTGAAGATGTTTACGGAAGAAAATCTCTTCCTCCATGAGTTGGATGTGCCAGCAGCATACCATAGCCATATGATGGATCCTATACTTGATGACATTGAG